TATTTGCCTGGGGCGATTTCCAATCTGACTGAAATTGCCCAAGGGGCGGGGCCTGCTGGTTGGAAAAGTTAATATTTCGGGCTGCTGATTGGAACAATAATATTAAGACTTTATACAGTCTATGATTAAGACTTAAGATTGTCAAAAATAAATCTCTTTTTTTCCCCTCTTTTTTGTGTGGCTGAATTGGAGGCGTGCACAGCCGATACCAATATGCATTTTGTCCATTAAAGGGAACTCCTAACCAGCTGGATGGATGTTAGCCAGATGGTTAATCCAATCCACCAGTATAACCCGTATTCTTGGACGTCACTGGCCCATTTCCAAATGACGACTTCCCAGATGGTTCTGTGTAACAATCTATTTGGGCGCAAGTCAGGTTCGGGTGTTGCCCATTCACACATTAATAAATGTCAACTTAACTTGGTTTGCATTAAGGAAATGTAGATGCAGTGTTTTTGGAGCTTGACTCATACTTAGGGACTAAGGGCGTCCACACAAGTAAGTTTTTCGTCGAATCCGCATAAATGCTTTATTGTTTCGCCTCGCGTACCAGACGGATCCGGCTTTTTCGAGGGCGTGAAAACGGTATTTTTTTTAGAACGGGTCCCAGAGTGGGAAAATCCTAAAACGATGATGTATAGCCCCGCCTCTCCAAGCCTTTGAACCTCAGCCGCCGCCGCTAGCGCGTTCATAAAACAACAACAACAAGCGGACTAACAGGCTTGTGATAGCGGCGTAACCTTTATACTGCATGGGCTCCATGGCTTCTTTTTCGGTTTTAGGATGGTTGTGTGGCTCACGCGCCACATACAGGCCTGGCATTTTGGGTCTGGAAACGACGCCGTGTTTACGGAGATTTTTTTTCGAAACGACAGCATATTGGGTGAGGCCGCATACTCGTGTGGACAGGGCCTAAGATTCATGATATCTCAGCCTCTGCTGCTTTGATTTTGACAAAAGTGTTTTTAAAACTCTATCTCTCAGAAGCATCCCCAACTTTGTAAAAATGCAACTCTGAAAATCCCACTTCATATTATTTCTATAGTATGATTGAGCCTTTTGACTCTCCAGCTCCGCTCTGCCAACATCCACACTAAGGCGGATAAACTGTCATAAAAAAAAAAAAAATGTCCAAATGACTTACATCCACAATAGTGTTTTCAGGTGTGTGTTTTTTTTTAGCCTTGTTCCTCCTCTTCTCTCCAGAAAACATTTTTGCATTACGGTTATTTTTATCCACTCTGGAGACTGACTTTAAAATGCTCTAGTTTTGAAAAAAAAACACCAGCTTTAATGTGAAAAGAAGGCCAAAACAGAGAAAAAAGATCGGTTTTCAAATTTAGCCAACTTAGTGTGAATGTAGTCTCAGTCTGCCTCTTTGAAGCAATTCAGGCACCAATTAATCACCTGCTGCTTTTCATTCACCCTCGGCCTCATGCTCCTGTAGTTCTAGGACAGATTAAAAGCAGAACACATAGGAAGTGCCACATCGTGCTGAACCACGCCATCGGAACTGGCAGCGCAGCAAAGTGTCCAAACAACCTCCCCAAACAGTCGCCCGTTCCAGCTCACCCTAATTGGTTGCAAATGCCTTTTAGGATGAACCAGTGATGGCTGTGAGGAGTTGTATGATATGATTTTAAGATTAATTCTGGCTGCTTACAGACATGCAGCTCAATTAAAGTATTTAACACAAAGAGTTGTTATTAATCTTCTCATCTAACATTTGTGAGTATGTGAGTATTTGTTTCAACCCCAATCATGCTGCAGCAGTCCTTCAAGTACAAAGGCAGGGTTCCTTTTGTCAGAGATCAGAGGAACAGAATTAAAATGTGTGCTAGCCTGCGTAATTGGCTTCCGGTAAACATGTCTGTGGCACTTCATGGTGCAGAATGTGGCATTGATTTGGCTTTTCTCATGATGGTTTTCTAACCGAGTGAAACCTCTCAGATGAGGATCTTTTCATGTTTATGTCCGTCTGCTTTTGGACTCTTCAAAGCGATCACACTAGAGCCAAAATCACAATGTTAATCTGCTGGATGGAAGTGTTTTGTGGATAGAAGGTCTCTGTTAATAGTGCGGTAAACAAGTGTTTGGTTGTGTACGTGTTGTTTTGCAGTGTGTGAGTGTATTCACTGGTAAATCCTCATGTCTGTACTTGTGGTATGTGAGTCAGTATGCACATTATTGTCTTGTGTTCTGGTGTTGGTGCCTGTGCGTGCTGTAGGTTTGTGTTTCCAGAGTGTTTGTATATGCTCAGCGTCCAGGTCTTGGTTATGTCCACATGCAGGAAGTGGAGGCTGAGAGTCATGTCTGTGTGTGTGTGTGTGTGTGTCGCTCATCGATGTTGTGTGCCAGCGCCCAATTCCGGCTCGGAGCTGTCAGCCTCCACCCATCGATCAAACCTGGCAACCTGAGTCGCTGACATTTTCCACCACTTCCTGAGAAACTCTGTGATCCAGACAAACAAAGTCTGGACTCATATGTCAGGCCGATATTGGTGTTGAAAAAAAAACTACAGTCATCCACCGATGATCTATTGGACCTTTCATTTCAAGAGCTGCTTTAGTCATACCAGTGCCACAGCAACCATGTGTCCTAGACATTATGTCTATAGTACTAATTTGTTTTGCCAAATCCATTTAGCACAAACCGTAATTGCTGCGTGGAGTATGTTCCTTGGCAATATTCTTTCCAGTAAAACAAGTGCTGTGTTCTGGGTACCACAGAAGTTGTTGGCAGTGTTATGCACGTTTACACAAAGTTCAGTTCACACAGATTAAAATGAATTAGTTTATATTCATAGTTTCAAGTTCACAGTCTCCAAAAAATAATGTTCATTTATTCCATTTTTGCTGCTTTACAAAATGCTGTGAGTTTGACTTGAACATTAGCCTGTTCAGTGAACACGCTCTTTTAGCCCTTCCTCCACAACACTGGTTGTTACTCGGTGCAGTTTTTTCTCCAAATGTAATGTTTTTGTCATTGTGAGTGGCGAGGCTTTAGGAATGGCAATATCGGTCAGTCGGTTGTTCGGTTGGTTGGTTGGTCCATCACTTTGGTCCAGACTAAAACATCTTGACAACTATTGGATGGCTTTCCATGAGATTCGCCTTCCCCAGAGAGTGAATCACACTGACTTCTCCTGCAGCGCCACCATGAGGTTGACCATTCTCAGTACAGCGAAAGCTGTACTTTGTGGCAATTAGCAATGCTAACACACTAATCTAAGATTGTGAACAAGGTAAACATTATACATGCTCAAAATCAACCTGCTAGCATTATTATTTTTGTGACTTCTCACAGTCTCATCAGTGCCTACCCCTATAAAAACATCAGGGTCTGAGTTTATGCTACCTTTGGGTGGACTGACCCTTTAAGCTAGGGCTGATTGCTCAACATCAGGTTATTGTTAAAACAAGAAGAGGTTGTAATGTTCAGTGCGTAACTGATTTGAATTTTTTTGGCTGTAGTTTGTGGTTTGTTATTGGATAACATAATATATATATATAATGTTTGTCTGTTTATACACCTGCAAGCAGAGAGGAGGAGGCTGCTATCAGTAACCTCAGTCTCCAAATATCTTCACTGATATCAGCTGTGAAATTGTTGGACAAAGTGAAGGACAGGTAGACAGACAGTCAGACTGACAGACAGACAGGCAGGCAGATAAGGAATGTAAGTGGAATGCTGACAGACAGCAGCCATGGTATAAAATGAAATGAGAGGAGGCAGACAGGGAGAGAGTGAGGGATGGGATGTTGAACATCAAACCGACATCCTATTTGGCACGAGGAAGAGACAGGGAGAATGAGATGGTCCATACCTGCACTGTGTCATCCTCAGTACAGAGGGAGGAGGAGGAGGAGGAGGAGGAGGAGGATGTGGGCCGGGGTCTTCCTCGTTGCCTGGCGGATCTCCTACTGTTCACACGGAGGGGGAGGACTGTTTGTTTAAGTGGCTCCGCATGGCAACCACTTGTGAGCAGCTCCTGTGAAAGCCCTCGCTGGCTCAGCGTGGAGGTTGGGGGGTTGAGGGTGCTTCCCCAGACGAATAAACAGACTGACACTCTCCTCTCCTTCCTTACCCCACTCCCAACTGGCCCTCCTTACCCCCTCCTGAGTGTCCCCCATTACTGCACCGTAATGCTGCTGGGGGTACTCTTGTACCTAGGATCTATCTAACACATTCATAGGCATCCAAAACTAGATCAATCAGTTTGAACAAAACACGTATCATCATCATCATCATCATCATCATCATCATCATCGTCATCATCGTCATCTGTTTGGTTGCAGTAACCTGCTGCTGTCCTTTTATCTTCTCTCTCCCCCACTACTGTAATAACACTTTCACCAGCCACTTTATTTAGCCGCTCCGACCTCCAGCCTTGAAAGTTTCAGTGGCGCTCATCAGGGCGCATACTGCCAACAAGGTCAGGTGACACAAGTGGAAAGCAATGTGGGAACTGATGACTCAAAATGCAAAGGAAAGACACCCTCTTCATTTCTTTAAAAGCCTGCATTGTTAAAAGCATAGTTCAGGTTTTGGGAAGTACGGATGAATGAGGTTCAAATCTGTACAGAAGACGGCCCCCACTTTGGAAGTTAAGCAATGTTCTGCTCTGAGTGGGGTATTTTAGCCCCTTAAAAAACAATTTTTTTTGGTGACAGACATTTGGCGTGACTGTGTAAAACTAAAACTTTACACTTCACATCCCTGAATTTAACTAAAGATGCCTTAAATAGTAAAAAATGATGTGTCCAGTGATCGTCAGGAAGGACTGTGTAACATTACACACATCGTTACACCACTGACAAGAACACACTCAATAAATCACCAACTTTGACCACACCACTCAGTTTTATGTTGCAATGATGTATGATCTCCCTCTGGAAGGACAAACTGCTTCAGAAAGAGGAAAACAAGCCTCAGCAGCATGACTTACAATAATAACCTTTTGAATTTCAGTAACACAACCTCCTTTCTTTTTTCAGACATGGACGAGTGTGAGAACGACTACAACGGGGGCTGCGTCCATGAATGCATCAACATACCTGGAAACTACAGGTGCACCTGCTACGATGGATTCATGCTGGCCCACGACGGACACAACTGTCTGGGTAAGAACAATAAACACACACATTCCTCCTCTGTGTGTGTGTTTCTGTCAACAGGATTAATGGACTTAATGGCTTTAGGGACTAGGTACAGAATACGTCACATCAAAAGTAGACCCCATAAAGGTCTTGTTTATAAAGAGCTGAGTCTTGTGCCTTTACTGGGAACATAGCCTAAGTGGCTCGAATCTGATTGTTATTATATTTTTTTAATCGTATGTGATTCAGATCTGTTTTATTCATGACAGTGTGAACAGCAATTCGGATTTGGGCCATCTTCATATGTGTTTCAAATCAGATACAGGTTTGTTGCAATGTGACCTCACTGTGATCAGCCATATCAGAATTCAGAGGATTTGTATGTCACTCTAGGTCTATGTTTACATGTGGGTCAGTTCAGGACCATGACCTGTTCACTGCAACGCATTCCAACTGCGACGCGGCTCCCGGAGCTCATCGCAGCCGTTCTGTGCAATGATTGTGATTCCTCTAGAAGCACTGCAGTGTCCCCAGAGCAGCTCTCCGTTCTGCTCCGTGGTATACCGCGCTGGCAGTAAGTCAGACACAGAAATAGCATAGAGAATCCGGTCACTTTTCAAAATAAAACACCCTGTGCAGATCCCTGATTTTAAAAACAGACAAAAAGGAAACAGTTTAACTATGTGCCTTACTTAAACATGGCAGAAGCTCATAAATCAAGGAATAATGTCCAAATCTCAGCTAAAGTTAACTAAATCTGGCGGGCAAAGCACTCTGCTTCAGAAACGTTTCTGATGGGACATGAAGTCGCGTGCAGATGTGACATCTTAATGTGTACTGGGTGTGTGTCCATGCATCCATCTGATTCAGTGTATGATTGTGAATAGATATGTCTGTCTGTGCTTAAGAGAGTATACTCAAGGGTGCGTGGATGTTTCTGTGTGTGTGTGTGTGTGTGTGTTCGTATCCCGTAAGCCCGTCTGGCTCAGCTTGCCTTTCTCCAGAGAGTCCCTCTGTCATCATTTGGAGGGTTTCCATGATTTGTGCTGTTTTGTGCTTGTTTCTCCGTACTGTTGGGAGGGCTGTCGGGGTTGAAGAGTTTTCCTACAGATATCTGGCTGTGCTTTATTACTGACAGATCCAGCCCATTTAGCCCCAGTGCTGCGTTATTGACTTAGTGTCAGCCAGACTAATGTTTTTTCTGTCCTGTGCAACATGTAGTTCTGCACGGATGTGCTCAAACACATTTCATCCTGTCAGTCCTCCACCGCTGACTGACGAGAGCTAAAATCAGGAACATAAAAAACATGTGATTTTGAATGCCCGTGTGTCTTTGGTGGGATATGTTATAAGTGCTGTGGCTCATTCTTTGAGCCTTTGGAGAGATTGAGTGAGAGATTGAGTGCTAAGAGCAGCAGCCAGCAGCAGTGCAGAATAGCTGCTGAGTTGTGGATTCACCTCACAGGAATGACTTTCAGACAGCTGATATAAAGCAGAGTTAAAGACACCCTGCCATCAGAATTCAACATTTCCTCCATGCACAAACATGGCCAAAGATGTTAAATGAAAACACTGTTAAAAATATATGCCATGCCGAGGTTCCAACTGGTCTCTGTGGTTTCTACTGGATGAGTAAAGTTTGGCCACACTAATACAGTTATGTTTTAGAGGAATTAAACTGTCATTAGTCACAAACTTGATGAAAACTTTTTTTTTGCACCACAATTCAATTGCCAAACACTGCAGAAAAAACTAGTACATTTCTGTTTTAGCTTCCAGATTTAATTTGGAAAATCCAAATTCATTTTGTGAAATTAAAGGTCCAGTGTGTAACATTTAGAAGGATAACATTCATAGGTATGTTTTCATTAGTGTATAATAGCTGAATTTAAGAGTTTTGTTTTTGTTCCCTTAGAATGAGTTGGTTTGTGTTCTGTGAAAAGAAAAATAGATCACTCAGAACTCAGAGTTTGAATACTATAAGTAGGACTCTAATTGCAACATACTGTATTTTGTTTACGGTACAATAGAACTATGTTGATGTCATCTACAGTGAAAGTAATTGTGTCTGATACTGTTCTGATACTGAGTATGTCAGTATTGAGAATAAACACATTTGTTTGAGTCCCCATTGCATTTGTCTTCATATTTACAGATGAAAACGCCAAAGATAGTGTTTTATACTTGGCACATGAGTGTGCAGTTGTCATGTGGAATGAGCTATTTGAGTTTATATGGGTTTTAATGTGTAATGTGAAAGGGTTTGCTTTTGCAAGAGATATTATGTATTTTGTGTATATGTTTCTTGGTTTTGTATGTGGGGTTTTGACAAAGAGGCCCACAGTGTCAGAAATTGTGTTAGCAAGTAAAAAAAACTGTAAGCCAGCATCTAACGGCCATTAAAGGAACTGCAGTTTAAGACACTCCCGTAGGAGCTTTAGCTGTGCATTGTATTGGTATCCAGAAGGTAACACGATGAACAGTGTGTAAAACCTGATCATACTGAGAGACATGATGGCAGCAGCTATAAAAGGGAGACCAGATATTTGCTTGAGAAAATGAGGGACGGTGTCACTATAATTGTGTCTGACAGTGTTTTGTGTTGTTTATTTCCTGCTGGCTTGTCTCTAAATGGGCCCTGACTGTCTACAGCCGTTAGCTCGCTGGTTAGCTGCTGTGGTGTTATGTGTCGCGGTTAACTGGAGGAGGATCTCACCACACGTGTTTGTGACGCTAATTCAAACGATACCAACTGAGTCATGTGAGAACTGTCATCACCTGCTCTTTACGGCGTGGCGGGAGGAAGCCAGCCCGCGTCTGACTTAAACCCAGAGACTTGCTTTATTGGATGTTGACTGGATGCGGCCTTAATGAAGTTCCCGTTAATTAAAAGCGGGTTAACTGAGTTCAAACGAGGCAGTAAAGCATGAAATCAGATGCAAGATCTGTGTGATCGCAATCAAAGCAATTACAGGCTGTGTGACGCATCTTTTCCTTCTTTTGGCTTCTTTAGACCTTCCTTTCGGTTCTCTTTCCGTTCTTTATTTGACTCTTTCTTCTTTCTTTTTCTCATTTGGTGTTATTCATTGCCTCATCTCTTGCCGTTTTTTATTTTCTTTCTCCGTAGTTTTAATCACTGCCTCATTCTTTTTTCTCTCCTCTGTTCTTATTTTCTGCTTTTCTCTTTCCCTTTTTCACACCTTTTTCCATTCATTCTTTTCTTTTCTCCATTGCTTTTCCATTCCACTTTTCCTATTTTTGTGCGTTTTCCCCTTTTCTTTATTATCTATCGTCTTCTTCTTTGTCCTGTTGTTGGTTTTTCTTCCTCCCAGTGTGTCTATATAACTGTCTATATAATTCTCTTTATTTCTCTCTCTTTGCCTTTTACTGTCTCTCACCATCTGCCATGCTCCGCCTATTTTTCCATCTACTTCACTCTGGATATTTGTCTTATTTTCTGTCTTTCTCTCTCCATTTTTCCTTCCTCTGATCCGTTATACTCTTCCTGTCTGTCTGCTGACCTTGTACCAACTTTCATCTAATTACCCTAATAGCTGTCTGCTGTCCTTTCCTTTTACTTTAAATCTATTTTAACTTAACAGTTGACTGAATGTTTTTACTGGACTTTCAACCATCATCAGGTAACAGCAGCAGAGATATACACTGACGAGTCACTCTGTTGCAGGGAATGATAAATAGATATAAATATGAATGTATTTAACAACCTGTTAGCCCAGCATTTAAACTTTAAATGCTTTAATTGAATGCAATTTGTTCTGGACATTCATGACCTAAGTTGAATTATCATTAACCACAGTACACAAGTGATGTATTTGTTGGATGGATTAAAATTTACTCAGCACACTGATTCTCCCAAGACCTTACTGAAGTCCTCTGTCTCCACTATTGTGTTCCTTCCTGTCTGCACTGGCAAAGGGGATGTGTTGCACTGTGTAAATTGACATCAGCTGCTTGTGATCACCCTTACCTGAATTTAAGCAGTGACTGAGCAGTTTTATAATGTATCATATAATGTGAAAAGAAATGCACAGACTTTCTTGTACAGCAGTCTGACAAATACCTGGTGGCTTAAATGAGATCAGTTCTCTTATCAGCTGGTCATGTTACTGTTACAATAGTCCTGCTGGTAGTGCTGGTATCTATTCAAAACACGTGTTGTGCAGTCTATACTAGAGCTGGCAATATGGCAAACAGTCCTTATTGCCATTACATGTTGACAGATATAATGACTGTCGTATGATTCAGGATTAGTTTGGGAATTATCATTTTTGCATCACAAATTGAATTTTTATTGAAAAAAATTATTAAAATCTAGATTATGTTCATTCTTTGGAGGTCTGTACCAAACAAATCGAATGTTGGTAATCAATTAATCACTTTAATCAATTGTGCAGCCCTAGTCTGTACTGTACCAATGAATCAAGATGATCATGTGTTTTGTATGTAGAATTTGAATCTGTTACCCGTAATCACCATTAAATGTAAAGAAATGTAAAGAAAATGCAAATGTCTTTACTTGAAGTGTTTTAACTTTCCACCACTGTTAAGTTGTGTAGTATCTGGACTTCCCATTCAGCTCACTGTTTTTACTGTGATTAGTCCCACTTTTTCAGGCTTTTAGCAGCATTTGACCAATACTGCCACTGTGTGTCACCAACTTACATTATGCCAATAATGTCTCATTGTACTGCTAGCAACTAGAGGCCTTAGACTTACTGAAGCTGTAAAAAAGAGGAAAAGAATGAATAGAATTGGGGCGCCCGGTTAGCTCAGTCGGTAGAGCTGGCGACCCATATACGAAGTTGCTGCAGCGGCC